ACTGAGATCTAGTGCGACACACTGGGTTGGCCTGTTAAGCTCAGCTCCAGAAAACTGATCCTTGGACAGCCTCCCATAGCTGATACATAGGAATGTAAAAGCTGACAATAGGAAAAGCAGCACAAAGTAGAGTTAATGTTCTCATGCAGAGCTGTTTTGTAACAAGTCTCATCCTAAAACAATGCTTTGCATTCAAGTTACAATAGATAATAATGTATACGTGTAAAGAATCAGAGATATTTACAGTGGGAAATACTAATAAAATATTCCCTCAATTCCACGATCAGCTATGTTGTAACACAGGATACAAACTGATTACTGTTATTACATTAAGAAACAAAGAAAATTCCAAAAGTGCAGCAGTTGCTACCTTATTAGCATAAAATTAAAGCATCTGAATGCATAATTAACTCAAGACATTAAGGGATTCACCTTTAGAGTCCAAAGAACTCCTTAAATTAATGTATTTTAAGCAAATTTTTATGTTACCCTAACGAGTTCTCTTCACTGCAGATTAATACTTTGAAGTTCGACAACACAAACTAATATAAAAGCCAATACACAAACATAGCAGAGAAAAATAGCTGCAAAATGCTATCAGCATATTCCAAGTTCCATTTATGTCTATAATTAAGAACATAAACAATCATCACTCTTGCATAAGATAACAAAAAATTAAGTATACATTAAAAATATAATACTATAGCGGAGTGCTGCCAGTGTTGCATGTGTTATACACAAAAAGACAGGAAGATAATGCTTAGTACTACTATAAGATATATTAAAGTTGATTCCAGCAGTTGCACTATTTCATAATATAAGCAATTTCAGTCTCAAACTCTGGCAGAAATACAGTGAGTGCAACATTTCATCATCTTATTTCAAATGTACTATAGCATGGTTATGTTTGTATTTTCACAGATAAAGCTAAACAAATCAAGGGACACTAGGCTTTAAATCATCCATATGTAGGGTTTATTAAACTATTTTTAAAAGAAACAACGTAAACAAAATATTTTTTCCACTATGAAGTTTCTTAAGGCTCATTACATTACCTCTGCATATAATTTATGCTCATCTCAGTGGGTTTTATGGGTCATTCACACCAGAAGTAAGAGACAAATGCTCTTATTATAGGAAAACGAGATGTAACTACAAAAACACAAAAATCAGCCTGATCCACAAAACAATCAAATCTACTTTCATTTATTTTTAATTGATTGTGTCAAGGATTTTCATGTATGAGTTCTTACAGTGTCCTGTCCTCCCTGTAATATCAAATAGCAAATTTAGGGGGGGGTGGAGGGAAGAATTACTGAGACTAAGCATGGAAACCAGGTGAATTCCCAATACTGATGTCCTCCATTTATCTCCCTCCTCGGGATTGTTCTTGTTTCCTCAACCTATTTTTTGTTTTCTTCATACTCAATAAGCCAAGGTGTTGCGGTGTGTCTTAAGCTTCTGGGTCCCTTTCCCAGGTGTGCCTATATGCCTCTCCCTTCCCCCTCGCCCCCTTGCTTAACATTCCAGCAAGGCATCGTGTGATTGGTCAAGTTCAAAAGATGCCCCTATGCCCAGGGGTCATTGGCCTGTCTAGGTGTCCCTTGTCCCTTGAGACCCCGCCCCTTTCACCTGGTTGGTGATCACCTGTCCCCCCCCCTCCCCCTGCCCCGGGAGCTTAAAAGGTGATCAGGCCATGTGCTCATTATTCTGCTGGAGCAGCTGCTCCCGTTCAGGCCTCTGTAACCATGGAATAAACTTCTGGACATTAAACCTTCCAGCGGAATCCTCTCCTTTTTCTCTTCACCATCGCCAGAAGCTCTCTCTCCTGAGGTAAACGGAGTTCCTGACAAGCCTGGACTTGCTCAGTGCCCAGCTGCAATCTCCAGCAGCCAAGGTATCTCTGGGGTGATTTACACCACAGTTGCTGCCTTTGGCCCAGCAGCGAGGGTCAGACTGGCCCAGGCACCATCTAACTGATAATATTGGGATTCATATTCCAATACCAAGGTATTCAAAAAGACCAAAAAAGGTATTCAAAAAGACCAAAAAAACCTCTTTTGTCCTAAAAAACTTGATTCTTCAAGTTGTCATTCCTATTGCAACATCTTTCATTTTAGCCTGATTTTTAAAGGAAACTATGATTATACATCTGTGCTGTCCATACAGAAGCAAGCATATTATTATTACAAAGTTTTCCTAGAACTTCTGAATTTAAGTCATTTCAATTAAAATGAAAAGTTAACAACCTGAAAGAAACCAAGTACCTACAACTTTGATGAAGAAGGTAACAGGTGAAAAAATGCCATTCATCCATTAAAGATTTATGCAAGAAATAACCAATTTATACACAATCAATACCAGGCACAGGGGAACCCACCTGGAGAACACCATCAGGAATGTACCTCCTGCAGGGAAGGCTTCATGTGTGCTATATCTTAGAAACTAGCAAGGCCACAGGAAACAAGGCCTTACTGACCATGCTGTTTGAAGAAGTGTTTATAACATCACACCCACAAGAATGTTAGCTTCTAATTTGTTAAATCACCTTTAATTTGTGGATTTCTTCTTCCTTGCAAATGAATTGACAGATTCCAATAGTTACATCCTCTTCACTAACTTTTTACACAGTGATGCATTTTTTCCCTTGCTTCTTATTCTTCTGTATCTGTGCATTTTGTTCTCCTGTGTCTGCCTCAGCTCCCATGGAAGGCAGAACATGCACCACAGGACCCATTCTGATGATTTTTGTGCCCCAGAGGTTCACAGGCTAGCTCATCTCTTTTTACAATGAATGCAAACAAACCATCAGCTAACAGACAGCTGCAACATCCTTCCAGAAGAACAGCCTTTAAAAATATTGTTTACTTGTCTGAACAGAAGATATCCTCCTACCCTTCAAAATAAGTGACTGATTGATAGGTAGGCAAAAGCATTTGCTTTAACAGAATCAGACTGACATCAGTTCTCATGTTCTCTGCTGTCTGAACACTATCAAGCTGATCAGATTTGTGATTTTCCTGAGGCACATCAAACCAAGCTATAAACTGTAGTCCTTTCCTACAGTGAACTTGTGGATTTGTCCAGTGTGAGCTAGTGAGTAACAAATTTAACTATGGTAAAAATCTGATGTAAAAACTGCATTTTCCATCTCCTGAAACACAGAAATCATCCAGCTTCTTACAACTTCATTTGGCAGGAAGATGAGCGCACATCAGGAGACAGCTGCAACTTACCCAATTATTAACTTTTTCTTTTTAATTGGCTGTTCCAATGCCAGCTCTGGCCAAGCAGTTGACCAGGAAGGTATCAGGCAGTAAAACTCAAAAAATACATGTGTTTATATTCAAGTGCAACTGGCAGCCACTGACACCACAAATGGCTTTTCTAGAAGAGAGGAAAACTTTAGTAAGTCTGCATCTAATCTTGCAAGAAAGATGATCACAACTTATGGCTCAATTATTTTTGAAGTCACATGCATTTTGAGATCACACAAGCAGGTAATGCCATTCAACCTGATTTCTAAAATCAGCAGATTTACAATGCAAAATCTTAACAATTCAGTTTTGCAGAGAGATACTGATTATGTTTCCTTATGCTGCACATGCATAGGCCTTTTCTTGAGTTTGATATTTGTCAGATGTGTCACACAGTATAAGGAGAGACTCTCTGCAGCTTTTCAAAACTTTATACTGCACTGACACATAATTTTTCAACACCTGAGAACAGCTCAACTCTGGAAACTAATTTAAAATACATGTTATTTTAATATTTTAAAGATACTTCTGTGTTTTATTCTTCTTTGTAAAAGTGAGGATTCATCTTCACATGCACTTAAAATGATAGAAAATTAGATTTCCTGTCCCTCAGGAAGCAATTTCAAAATAACATCGAACAGATTTGTAAAATCTGTTCAACCCAGTCTCTTTTCTACTGAGCCTGAAGTACTGTATGTGATAAACATGAAATACTCGCTAAGAAGAACTTTGCTACTATCTCAGTAAATTTGCATCAGTGCATAAAATAACATGCAACATATATATTTGAGACACACTATATGAGAAAAATCACCAAATTCCTGAAAAACTTCAGAGACTCTCAAACAATACAGAACCCTTTATGCAGCTGATATCTCAAGGAGTAAAATATAAAAATCTTCCTAGTCTGCTTTAGTTACTTCTCTAGAATATATAAAGGAAGAGGTATGATCTCATGGTCTGAGCATGAAACAGGAAATCAGATCTTACATAACGATTTGCCAAACCACACTTTCGGAACTAAACAAATAGTTCTGGTCTTCCCCCAGAACAATGGAAATACATTAATTTATACTGAATTGATCAAATCTGTTTAATTACAGAATACATGAGACATTTGGCTTCTGAGACTGAATTTTAGAGAGCAGTAAAGCGCATGTTTATCTACAAGCTAAAGCCAATTGAAATGGCAAATGGCAGTGCCAGCTACTAAGAAAATCATGATTGCAAAATTTTTATTACTGGATAATTTATCTAGTCTTGTTAGAGAATGGTTTCAGGTAAAATAGAAACCAAAGGATACATAATAATTACAATAAATAAGTATCCAATCCTCCCTAGGAAAACAGAACTTGCACAATTCATAAAATTATGCATATAATTTGTAACATTATACAGATATAAAGCACAAACTACTGATAAAAAAAAATTACAGGTTGGCCAAGGCCAGTGACCAATCCAAAAAACCCAAATAAACAAACAAAAACAACTTGGCAGAAGCCTTGAAAGATGGAAGACTAAAGTCTGCATATATACTGCTCCAACAGTTTAATTCAATCAAGATACCTGAAGCTGCACAGACAGTAAAACCACATAAAGTGCAAAAAGACATCTGTAAACTACCAAAGAAAATATTACAATTGGCTCTACCTCAGCTTTTCATCAATTTAAATCCTCCATGTGGGTGTTTTTATAAATTTTAGAATGAAAACTAATATTCAAAAAGACACTTGTAAGTTTTTTCAGGCCTCAAGTGACATGAGCTTTTTATTCAAATCAACCATCTAGTGTTTGTAATCAATTAAAGGGAGAAGGAAAAATTAGCATATGAACTTCTAAGGGACATTAAGTATATGCTGTCCTCACATATTTAAATGTGTGTTTGCTATGTTTTTATGGAAATATCTTCATACAGTCTTCCAAAGCAAAATTAATCATGTGTTCTAACAAGCCATTATTGACACATTCTACCATGAGAGAGAGGAAACAGAGCACTGAAAACAGGGACTATAAAACAGAGTCTGACTAGAAGACTATTTTTTAGCATTATTTCTTCCCAGTCTCTCATGCTTGCCATGCAATTATTACAATCAACATCATATTGTTTTTTGACATGCATGTCAAAAAATTATCAGTTCTTAAGGTATCAATTGCCTTTTTCTTGCAAAAGGATGACTACTACTGGTATTTCTTGCAGAAAAGCTTCAAGATTGTTTTGCCACATTAGTCCTTTTATCTTCCATCAGCATCTGCAGTCTACCGCTTTGGTCAGAGGTCCAGTGGTTTCTTTTAATTTTACTTTAAGATAGGAGGCACAAACTCAGAGAAAAGAGTTGTAAGTCCTGCAGTTTCAAATTCCTTTTGTAGCTCTTCCAGTGCTGAATATTCTTTGACTTCAAACATCTGAAACCTGCATTGTAAAAGGGAAACTCATGAATATGCCTGGATTTGTCAGAATGTTATTATCAATTCTGTTACTTTTCTACCCACAACAGTACTAAATTATACCTTTTATGCTGGGACTGTAGTTCTGTCTCACACAGTACCCTCATCATTTTCTCTTTGCATTTCTTTCCACTTGAGTCCACATCCACCTTAGAAGTTTTCTGAAGAATCAAGTACTCCTAAATGACAAAAAGAAATCCCAAAATATTAAATGTCACCTAGTATTTCCAAAGTTTAGTCAAATGCAAAAGCTCACTAAAAATGTATTCTTTTTTTAAAACACCGCAATCAAACTTTGAAAGCGCCCATGCCAAAAAGTGCACAACTGCTTCTATTCATCAGCTTTAAGTTAAGCAGGCCTAACTGATTAAGAGAACAGGAGTTAGAAAAGCCAAAACACTCTCCTCCAACATCACCATAAAAACGCATCTAAAGCAGTGGGAGTTTGCACGTACAGACAAGAATTCCAAAGCCCAGGCATGCACTAGGAGCACAATGTGGTTTTAAGGAAAGAGACAGTTAATAATGAGTTAGAAATTTGTCTGTTACTAATTCCTCACCAAAAACTTGTCCACTTTCTCGGCATTAGGGAAATATAGGAAACTGAATCTAGGCATATTAAGGTCAGGAAACAAAGGGATATGGGATATAGACAGAACAGAACACCTTTTTCCTAAATACAGAATAAAGTCGCTGGGTCTTCCTACTCTCATAATGATCAATTTGCTTCCAAAATTGTTAATCTTAGAAAAACACACACAAAATATTCAGACACAGAGGTTTCAGTGGTAAATCAATAGAACTAGTCAGCATTCATTGTTCCTGCACCTTAATGCTGTTCCTGTCACCCTGAAGAAGAATCAATATTATCTTGCCCATGAACATCAGTCTTCCAGTCAGCCTTAGATCTGAAGCCCATTTTTCCACAGTTTTCACATATTTTGCCTTTGCTCTCATGTGATCTAAATGCAAAAGGAGCATCCAGATACCATCTTCTGTTCCTTTTGACAAAGTAGTTTTTTCATTGCAAACTGTTGCTGATTGCTTAATGACATCTTTAAGATGCTGCTGTACCCAAAGAATCAGATCGTGTACCATGGGCTCAGAAAGATGCTGCTTGGCTTCTTCAAGTAATTTCTCTCTCACATCCACACACTGGGCCCTTGTAAGCTGGTCTGAGGTAACAGAAATATCTGGTACAGTTGATGGGTAATTGACTGGTAAATGAAAAAACAGCTTTAAAAGTACATCTGTATCCAGCACTTCTTTCACACTGATTTGAATTCTAAATGAGATTCCATGTGTCTCTGGAAAATAGAAAAAATCCCAACATTAATAGTTTGATTGAAGTTGAAATACATACATATCACTAAATCATGTTATTTTCTTTAACAATTCAACTCAAATAATTCACATTTCCTATAAAATAAGAAGGGGTGATTTTTTTTTTCTGCAGGGTGGGGGTTTGCAGCCAATGGCTCAAGCTATACCTGCAGAGAATCCTGAAATGAAACACTTCTATAACATAGTAGAAGAAAAGTTATTAACACATTCTAAAAAGCATTCACACCTTTTGGCTCTTTCAAAGTCTAGACAAGTCAGTAATAAAGAATTGTCTCTCAAACACATAACTCAGCTTCCACAGCTCAACAGCAAAAGCAAGGGCAACTGAAAATAGAGACTTTTCTGGATAGACTCAGCACTGCCCTAAGTTTACTCCTACGGAAATCTGTAAGACTTCTAACATCAATACTAATGCAAGGCAAACAGACTTGCACCAGGTATTTAAGACAACCATTCAAAAGCAGTTCTACACTAAGCAGAGACTTGGAAAGAAAGAAGTCAGATTCTTTGTCCCCTACAACTTGCAGAGAAAATACACTTAAATCTTTTCTGCCAACTCCTCTACAACAGTTGGACTGACATAAGGAAACCATCTCTGTTGGACACCTGACCCTAGATAATACATATCTAATTATGCATGTACTCATATTAATGCATGTTTATTATCTTCATAGCTGCTCAAATCTGTTGTAGGGCTACTTAAGAATAGAATTATTTTCAGAGTGGAAAGGATACACTCAGTATGCAGCAGGAAAGGCTGAAGATCACATCATCCTGATAAATCATATAATCAAAGATGCTTAATATTAAAGTATTTCATTTAATGAAATAAAACCTTCTTAACTAGAAGTTTCACAGAAAAACAATACAAAACTTGACAAAGTACAAAGCACGGACAAAGACCTTTCTCTCGCTCCTCTGCCATGAAGTAAGAGGGTATCAATCAGACAAAAGATGATCTTCAGATGTTCTCTGCTTCACCCCTTTGATGCATTCTAAACACTTCACTCCTTTTCTTTCAAAAATTGCTAAAATGTCAGGTTGATTCACTCTATGAGGGCAGGAGAAGCCAGATTTGAAAGGCAGATTAGAGGAGAGCTGAGCTTCAGAGAAGGTCTTTTGAAGTGACTTGCACTCTTCCCCCTCTACCTTACCTTCCTTTACATGACAGTCAGATGAATTATGTTTGATTAGTATTACTGATGCCACTAACCAACCTCTCACAGTGCCTCTCACATAAAATGTATGATTTTATATGTGAAACCTACTAAAAAGTGAAAGAACCTAAAAGTGACTTGGTCAGACGGAAGTACTTTAGAAAGCTTATCCAAGGGCTTGTTTTCAAACCTCCTTCCTGGGTCATACAAAAAACTCTTAAGGTCAGAGAAGTCGCAAAATAAAATCAGCATACATCCAAACCCAATAATCAAATTCTAGCAGTACTGTGAAGAAGTCTCCAAGTCAAATCCAGTGGTGAAAGCAGAGATGCAATTCCAGTGAATTCAATGAAATCACACCCAACCGTGCCCATATTTACAGGCACCACACGTCAAAAGAGTCATTTCCAGACAACAGGAAATGACTCTCTATCTTCTATTCTCCAAGTCCCTATCAAAGGTTTCAGACTACTTTTAAGACAAATGCATTCCTCAGAAAAACACCAGCCTTGGAAGAAGACCCTTGCACATGGCCAGCAGTTACTGAGGAGGACCTCAAGCCATCCCACTCCTAATTTCTGTTTTCTCATGCCCTAACAAGTGTTTCTTCCTGGGTGCCAGCAGCAGGTAGCTCCTCTGCCATTACACCAGGCTCAGCACACACCATCACAGGCACAGGCAGCAAACCTGCCCTGCGTGTCCTGGGGCCCCCAGCACCCTCCTGGCCAGCACGGAGCTGTCTGCACGCACAGCCACTGCACTGGACAGCGCTGCTGCCCCACGTCCCTCAGCTGCCCCCACTCAGGGCAGCCCCACCTGGCACCTGCCTGAATGGGGCCAGCACTATTGAAATCCTGCCTGAGAATCACTTTGTTTTCAACTATGTTGCCACGAGATTTTAAAATGCACAGCTTAATTACAGTGACAGAAATACATGTTACCTTTCTGATAATCCTCCTAGGATTTTTCCACTAGCTTGTCACAACAGACCTCACCAACTCAGAAGGAACAGAGGGACAGACAGGCCAGGGCCTCCTGCTGCAGTGATCTTATTCTTAAACCTGCAAAAATCTCACACCTCTCCTATGATGAGCTAATCTGAAGGAGGCAGACCAGCCTCGCATCCCAAGGTGTATCACCCTGAGCCATCAGGAAAAGCCCAGCCGTGCTCATTTACATCTGCTTCAGACTTTACTTTTTTAGAAAGCAGAATCAGTTCAAAACCTTTGCAGGGCTACAGCATCTAAGTTTAACTAAACCTTGCAGCATCCATTTTCTGCACCAGCGCTGCAGACAGTGGCAGAACAAAGAGCAAAGCAGCGGCGCCCCGCGCAACCTGGCTCCAAAGAAATATTTCCTTTGTTTGCACATGCTACAAGGGCCGAGTTGTCTTCACAGCAACATGATGATTATTTCTGAAATAAAAGCTTGGGTATGACTGTTCTGCTGGCATTTAATGTGCTAATCAGACCAAACTCAATACATTTTAACTCATTTCCCCCCATAGCTGCATGCTTATCAGTATATTTAGCTCTAGCATACTTCAGATTTTTTCTTATGTTCCATGTCAACCAGACAGATATCCCCCTCCTCTCCTGCCCAAAGGCATTTTATGCAACACATGCAGTCTATTTTTAAATTCAGAAAATGGCACCTAGTAACGTACAAGCTCAGAATATCTAAATATATTTTTATAGCAAGCTTGGTGAACAGACCAAAAGAGAACAGATTAACAATTAAATTATGGATTTCTATCTGTAACACTAATCTTTGCAAATAGATATGTAAGGTAAAAAAGATACACTGTAATTAGTTTATTTAAATTCATCCACACATTGGTTTTGATAAAAATACATTTTACATTCTAAATACTTCTTTGTTAAATTCCACAAAGCCAAAGTTCTTACCATACCAAGAGACCTGTAAAAGCATTCTCTTACATTTCTCAAAACCATGAATCCCCAATGGTCTCCTTTTTGATCCCATGGATCTACACACAAATTACTCTTAATGTCTTAGAGATTGCATAACATAACAGTCTTCCTGGAAGTTATGTCTGTGCACCCTTGGTCAATGACAATTTACATGGTTTGAAGAGCTAAAGCAAATGTAATCTAATGACTGGAGTGCAAGTCAATTGTATACTGACTAGAGATTCTACAGCTCCAACAAGTAAATTCCAAAAGTAAGAAAAATACAAATCAACATTGTTGTAAAATAATCTTTTAAATTCCAGCAGAACTATGTAAACCAATCAAATATACCTGATCCTACCATATCATGAACACATGGTTAGAGGCCCTCCAACATCACATAACAATATAAATAAAATAGTCTACTTCCATTGTGCACTTGTGGCACCTCACTTTATGTCCAGGAAGGATTTTAAACCTTTTAGATTCTAGTAACTTATAAACACAAAATCATTTTTCCATATATGAAGCACAGAGAAGAATGTGCCTACATTTTCCAACAGATTTGGAGGAACAAATGTGTATATGCAATGCTCGGATATGCTCACGTTTTTTAAAATTAACATCTGATAAGCCTGGATACTGCTTTTTCAAACTATGCCCAAAATAACATACTTGGAATTTTCACTTAAAAAAAAAAAAGCTCAGTTGAAACATTTCATCAATCACATTTTAAAAACACAAGCCTAAATACCAATTAAAAATAATTAAATAGCAGAATTACATGCCTGCACTGGAGCAGGAGGTGTGTTGTGTATCTAGATAGAAAATTGGTAGTTTTAGATTACTGTGGTTAATTGTGCTCCCTACAGACACTAATGCCTTCATCCAACCTCTCCTCTCAAGCCCAGTCACTACAACAGGACAACTGCCCAGGACAATGTGCAGATATTCGGAATATCTCCAGTGAGGGAGACTCCACAAGCTCTCCTGGCAGCCTCCAGCGCTCAGTCACCCTCACAGTAAAAAAAACTCTCCTTATCAATCTCAGTTCTTTAGGGCTGAATACATGCATGTGCACACAAAATCTGACCACCGCATCTATCTCCAGCAGCATTCCCCAGGAAGCTGCTCCCTGTCCATCGCTGTGCTGGGGAGCTGGGCAGAACCCTGCAAGAACTCCCACACACCGGGGACCTGTGGTACACAGCATAAGCATGTTCTGGGCTTATATGTGCACGTGTATCTCTCTCCAACAAACATCTAAGGGTTGTCACATCTGCGGTAGGCACCAAGCAAAATTTACTAATGGCCTGGATCTAGACACCAACACTTGCATATCCTACGTGACAATTCAGCCTGACAGAGCTGCTACTGTACACTGGAACTACTGAGATTTATTCTCCCTTGTTGAAGAGGCATCTTCACAGCACCATACAGCACAGACTGAAAAAAGCCATCTCTTAATACTAGGTTCTGATCAGTGGCCACCATGGCTGGTGCACAAACCATGAAGGCATCTACTGCACTCCTTGTCTACAGGATCCAGCAGCTAATGGCAGCAAGTACTACAAACCTGATCATTCCACCCACGGCAGACACGAGTATCAGCCTCAGTACCCTGTAAAACCTACAGCCGAAACATCCTGCTGAAGCAGCAGTAACATCTGGCACGTCACAGTGCCCAGGTAGTCAGCTTACCCCAGAAAAATACAGAGATAACCCAATGCTTCTTAGACACTACAACAGCTGTACCCTACTCGCTATTACCAGACAACAGCTGGGCTTGCTAACGCGTACAAGATTCACTTGCTCGTCTGCCTAGAGAGCAGCCAGCCCGCTCCCAGCGCTGGGCCGCAGGGCACCGAGCAGGTCCCTGACTGTAACCGAGCAGGGCCCGCTGGGCTCCGCGCCCCAAGCGCGGCCGCCAGCACAGACACCGGCGGGGCAGGGACACGCGACAAGCGACAGCAGCGAGCGACTGCGCCCGTGCTGCCCCGGGCTGAGCCCCGCCGTGCTTCCTCCCGGGGTCTGGTCGGGCGAGCCTGGACTGTGGGCAGAGAGCGCGGCCGCATCACCTGAGGCCGCCAGCACCTCGCAGGCGCCCGGCTCGCAGTAGATGGCGGCGAGCGCCGACAGCTCCTCCCGAGCCAGCTCCGACATGGCCGCCGGCGCGCGCCGCCGCGCCCCCTGCCGGCCGCGGGGTCTGCACCATGGCCGCCAGGGGGCGCCGCCGGCCCGGAGCGCGCCGCAGCGACGGGAACAAAATGGCCGCTCCGTGCGGGCCGCGCCGTGTCCCTCTGTCCGCCCTGTCCCGAGGAGCCCGCGCCGTGTCCCTCTGTCCCTCTTTGCGTCCGCCCGGCCCTGTCTCACAGCGGAGCGCTGTGCGACGATCTGACCCACATGAGGAAGAGCCGGCTCGGCCTTGGGCTGTACACGGATCACAGCCACACACAGCCCTGCACAAACAGTGACTAGAATACAAAATAATTCTTATAATTAACTACTGTGGCTTCACAACCCGTTACCAGCCCTCACACCGAGGCTGTGCATTGCCAACAGCACCATTATGATGCCCGAAAGACAGGCTGGAAATAAATCCCCACAGACCAGCGTCTATAGGGCAGGTGTTTGCTTATTGCAGCGCTGGGGGTGAGGGGGCTGTCTCCCCCTAACTCACCCACCCGTGTCTGTGCTGTGGTATATTTATGCAGTAAGTACTGCTTGGTATCACCGTGTCACTACAACATCATCACATAAGCTCCAGAACTAATTTACATTGTGTGATATGGTGGTTGTTAGACCGTTCTTTTGCACTGCACTTGTGCCTCCCCAATTTGTCAGGGCTCTTTGATGAAGGCTTCCAAGGTCTTCTTCACATCTGAACTTTTCAACTTCGTCATCAGAGCATGCACAATTATGGTGTTCCTTGGTCTGTCTGGTCTTGACCGACCCAAATTCTTTGTTTTGTGGCTAATTGGCTTTGCCCTTGTCAATTTCTCATTAGTACTATACTTACCTATCTCTAAAGCTATCCACCTGGCAAGCTGTTTCTTTTTTGTTTATTCAGCATTAAGCAACTAGTTAACCATATACTAGCCATTACAATATATAAAAAGTTATTTATATGAGGCTATATAGGTATGAAAGTTATGATTCAAGTTATATAGGTATAAAATAAACTATGATTCAGGTTATATAGATATATAAAAAGTGATTATTTAGGTTATATTGATATCAGGTTATATAGATACATCAAGTTATACTGAGATCTTATAACTCAAGCTATATAAGCACCTTGTAACTTTGATCTAAATTATATAGGCATCAATTAACTCCCAGGCAAAATCATCCAGTATCTCCTATTATTACAAAATCACTTTTAAAAGCAAGGGCTGGGGGGTTACTTTTCAGGATTTCTAACCCCTAACTTGTGTTGAAATGACAAGAACTAAGTGGTGGCTGAGCAGGGGAGGAAGAAGATGCTGGGAAGGAGCAGCATAGCCAGGCCACTGTCAGAAAGAAGGCTGTGGTGGAAATTAGCCTTAGAAGTGCCTCCATTCTATTATTAAGAACTTCCTTGCCCTGGTCTTTCCCCCTTCATCTCTGCCACTTTGCATATTCCATTTTACATGTTTAAATAAAAAAGTCGATGTAAATGTCTTTTGAATTGACACTATCACAAGACATAGAGGTCCCTATGAATAAGTTACTGCACTCTGACATTTGGAAGTCATCAAATGAGACAGTATAATGTCAGCTTGATATTTTTCACTCTATGAAAATATCAGCTTCATGTCA